CAGTGAGCCAAGATCATGCAAATGAACTCCAGCCTGGGTGACAGAGCAAGAATCTGTCTCAAAAAAAAAAAAAAAAAAAAAAAAAAACAAAAAAGGGAAAAAAAAAAAAAAAAATCTAAAAAAAAAAAAAAAAAAAAAAAAATCCTGTATAAAATCCTGAACTGTCAACTCTGTATAAAGGAAGTATAGGTTTCAGCTTCATTTTACCCACGTACTATTCAAGATGGTGCTGTTCTGCTTCATGTGCCTCTGACAATATCATGTAAAATAAAGTATAAAATATGCATATTTTATAAGACATAACACAAAACAAAGTGCTGGGTTTGCAAGTATTGAGTGAGCTATACTCCCGGGCCCTGTGAGGATAAACATTCACACCATTCTTGCTGCTGGCACTTCATGGGAAGGCTTGCAACTTATCGAGCAGAACTACGTTTCTGGTAGCGCTGGCATCAAAAACATGAAGGCCAGCATTAACAAAACTAACACGCTCAAGACACAATTCTAATTAAAAGCTCTAACTTTAGACATAAGTATATATTTAACAAATATAGAAGGCTAATCCTCAAAATAGTAAATTAAACATACTCATCTCTTGAATCTCAAAATCAATGTATAAAGCACAAGCTCTGAAAATCAATGCTGAATGATCAACAATAACTGTGAAAGATGATGGTGTGGTTTGGAGTTAGTTACATTCAATTTAGATTCTACATAATTCTCACAAACATTCCGTCCTAGAAAAAAGACAAAGTATACAACATTCAAAATACCAAAATTCTACAGAATTTCTCACATACCAACTTAGCTAACTTTCGCAAAATCCTTAAGTCTATACTATAACATACAGTCATATGGTAGTCAGAGAACATAATGGTCAATCCCGAAATAAGATCAAGACCAGCAAAAAATCTAGCTATATTCAGAAACAGCTTAGAAGGTGCTGACTTCACTATGTTCCTCTCCTTCCCAGTGACTGAGGAAGAGATAGAAAATGTATTTTGCCTGTGAAAGTTTAGGGGGAAAAAGAAGAAATACCTGTTTTTCCAGTACCACTAATCAAATGTGAAGTCAAAGGGGCTTTTATTAATGAAATGTTTTTTGCGAAATGACAAATGCTCAGTCTCTAAAAATATTAGGATGGTTCAGTTTGCTTCCTATGCCTCAGCTCCCTTTTCCAAGGTAGCTTAATGAAACGTAGCTTCGATAAAATTTGGCTGCCCAGGCTGGGCACAGTGGCTCAAACCTGTAATCCCAGCACCTTGGAAGGCTGAGTCGGGCAGATCACGTGAGGTCAGAGGTTGTTCAAGTCCAGCCTGGCCAACATGGTGAAACCCCATCTCTACTGAAAATACAAAATTAGCCAGGTGTGGTGGTACATACCTCTAATCACAGCTACTTGGGAGGTGAGGTAGGAGAATCACTTGAATCTGGGAGGGGGAGGCTGCAGTGAGCTGAGATCATGCCATTGCATTC